ACGTCTCTCATTAAAACTTACTCATTCCTGAATCAAGTATGGAATCATGATTCAGTCTACATGCTGAATATTTAGTGGATTTAAAAAGAATTTCTTTGAAAATACAACTTTTCTGCCTTCTGAAGTTATATTAAAAGGGTCAACCATCTGGGAAGACACAGTTGAAATATCTTTTGGAGATGGAAAAGTATCCTTTGGAGAGCTAAAAATGCATAAATGTGTTTAAAATGTATCTGATTTGGGTTTCTAGCAGTTTATAAAGTAATATTCTCTAAACAGTTATGCTAATTGTTCCTAATCTTATTTTAATAAAATATAAAATACGTTTTTCCTTTTTAAGTATAGGTGATACTTAGGACTATCTCTGCTTCATTTTAGTTGCTTATTCACTTAATTTCCTCTCAGATCAGCCACTTCTTACCTATAAAAACCCTTTTCAAGTTACCTAACTTTTCTGTGCCTCAGTTTTTTTCACCTGTGAAATGAGAAATAAAACCAGTACGTCACAGTGCTGTTTTCAGAATTGTAAGATGCCTTACTACAGTGCCTGGAACAGAGTAAGTGCTATGTAAACATTAGTTACGCTAATTTATTGAACAAACTCTATATAACACAGGGCACAGAGCAGAAACAGCTGTGAACAAACAACCATAAATATATAATGTCAGGAGTGACAGGTTCTTGAGGAAAAATACAGCAAGGTAAAAGTATAGAGAATGAGAGCAGTGGTATCTTTTATAGGGAGGATACAATAACCTGTCTGATAAAGACATTTTTTAGTGAGAGCAAAGGACATGGATGCCTGGGGCAATGAGAATCCTAGGCAGGGAGAAGATAAAATACCAGGGCCCTGATGTCCGGGGCACTGGACAGGTATGAGGAACAAAAAGGGCGGGTGGCTGGAGCAGAGACAACAGGGCAGAGACTGGTAGGAGAAGAAGTCCTAGAGGCTGAGGGTGGGGAAGAGAGGAGTACCTACCAAGGAGAATATCGCTGGCCAGGTTAGAGACTCTGGATTTTTGTCTTGGTGAGACAGGGTGTCACTGGAAGGCTTTGATAGCACGGTGACTGGAGGAAGGAAAACAGGAACCTGCTGCACTAGTCAGGACCACAGATGATGGTGGCTTAAACAAGGTGGCAGGGGTAGAACTAGTTTAATAATTCTAATATGCCTCTCCACTTTGCATTCTCCCTAAAGATATTCCTTTAACTGGTATTTAGTGAACACCTACTAAGTAAGGCATTGGGCTGGGTCATTTTACAGATGTTCTCTCTTACCTTAGTAAGGTGCAGACCCTTAGAATAAATAGAGTCAGATTAGGATATTAAAGCTCCAAAGAATGTTTAAAATCATCTATTGCAAACAGAAGATGTGGAGTTAGAAATCCAGAGAGACTGAATGATTTACCCAAGATCGTACAGCAGTTAATTCAAGAAAAGAGCTTGAGGCTCGGGTCTTCTTACTTTACAGAACAGGACATTCAAAATCTGTTTCTACTGACTTTTAAAAAGTCACTTACTGCGCCCTTATTTATTTTCCTTTGCCTCTTCTAATTTAAAAATGACAACAGCAAAACTTCTTTTAAACGTGTTCTCATTGGGTTAATATTTATGAGTCATTTCGAAAAGGAGTATTTTTGACGTTGCTAAAATAACTCATTACCTTAGGAAGTCTATATAAATGACTACTGCCATAACCTATTCTGTCACTGATAGAAATACCACTGACTTTCTGTGATTACTCTAGCTTGCCAATCACTGACCAAAATAACTCCTATATTAAAAACAGTATTTGTCAGATTCGAGAATAGGCTCAGTCTGCCTTAGCAAGAACCAGCGATTATGACAACTTAATATACTGCCTGTTCCCAGGGAAAGCAGGACATAACACCGAGTCATTCTTAGGACAAAGGATTTGGAACTGTGAGGAATATTTAATGTTTAAAGTAAATCAGAAGCTTCCTATGAGATATTTCCAACTACTGTATTTTCTTAATTTTGTATACCTCAAAGAAATTAAAGAGGAGATAAATCTTGTTGAGGATAAAGCAGAACTTGATAAAGAACTCCCTAATCTGTGTCCTCTCTGAGTCTAAGTGATGAGGAAGGTACCTTGTTATGAAATACTCCTCCCTTCCCACAAATCAAGTTTGTATCTGAATTTTGGTTCTTCAGAGTCAGCACTAAACTTCACCCTTCTAGAGAGCCCAAAAGCAGGACTGCCGAAAGGCTACAGCTTTCTTTTTTCTCTTGGAAAACTTGGAAGAGATTTTAAGGCCGTGAAGAGCTGAAATACACCCCTGGCCTAGTAAGAACATTTTATCAAACTGACCGTTGGAGAGCCAGCTTGTTTCTGAGATTGGCAATAGAGCTTCTTGTGACATAGTAAGTGTGAAAAGAGCCATTTCCCAATCATTTTGTTCATTCCATGCATATTAGGAGAGAAAAAAATTCAACCGAGGGTCAATTCTCCCCTAAGAATCCTTTAGTTTAATTATGACCACGGTATATTAAATGTCTGTAAGACATCCATCCACATTAGCTCTGCCGCTCCTGCTCTCCGCAGTGAAAGAGAGGAAACACTTTTACTACTAAAAAGACAGAGAGGATGCTCGTATGGTTCTAAAACATGGTTAAACATTCAATTTAACCAATACAAGGTCACTGTGCTTCTTGTAAATGAACATCTCCTCGCTGCTAATTTTGTGCTATTTTACCTCTCATTAAAAAAAAGTAATTCAGGTTAAACTCAGCTGAACAGGAAAAAGCTCTTGATATTTTGAAGCATTTTCAAACAATTACTTTGACAGGAGCCCTTGACAGTTAAATGACTCCATTAAATGATGTTATAGAAGACACATAATGGTTTTTAGTGAAATATTGAAATCAACCACACACGAGGAAAAACGAGTCACAGGCGCTATGGGTCTATTTGAATAATAGCATCTTGCTTACGAACCTCAGTGGAGTCCGTAATTTGTGATAACCATGCAATCGACTAGTTAGCTGGTATGATTACGAGTACGTTTCCCATTTTAGTGTTCTCTTCATTTTGGGGTTTTGCTTTTGTTGGTTTTTCACTGGAGAAACCAATACGAAAGCTGGCAACAATTCCCTCCTATATTCGTATGATATTTTAGAGTTAGGCAATTAGTTGCTGCCCCACAAATGAAGTCTTCCTCTTTCCTTTTTCCCATTTACTGAATGAGATTCTTTCACAAAGTAAAAAATCAGCGAAAGGCAAGAGCCTGCTGCCTGAGAACGTGTGAATTCACTGTACGCCAGTGTTTCCTCCATCCGTGGGATTCAATATTCCTTTTCTTATTTTATGGATCGAATGTGAGATAGTATCAAGGGTTTTACATGTTTTCTCATGACTAACAACTGAAGTATGCACTGAAATAACAAAACGGGTACTGTTCAATTTCCTTTTTAATTCAATTCCAATATAAGTGAGAGTGCCCTTGTGATGGATGGTGAAATCCGGCTTATTATAAAACTCTGTTTTCCGGAGAAGAGGAGGAGCTAGAAGTCTGTGTAGACTTAAAACATGTGGGTTAGGAATGGGTGGGGACACTCGGATTGAAGGTATGAGTCAGAAGAACAGGAATGTCCTTCATCTTGTTGGTCTGGCAAGCGGGGTGAAAGGTCAGTGGTAAGCATACTGGGTGTCAACGCTTGGATCTCTACACATTGTGTGCAGCTGCGTGTCCTAATTCTTCCAAGCAGGTGAGATACAACCTCCACCATGGTCCCACTGCTCCCTGCATTTATATTTATCGTCATCCATTAATTGTCTATTTACACTTTAATTGCCTATTGACATGTCTGCTCCCCACTAGACAGTCACCGCTTGAGGACAGAGAGTCTTTTCATCTTGCATCCCCTAACACTTCTGAGCCATAAAGCTATTTGATAAATGTACTTTTGAACAAATATGCTTTTAACTCCTTCAGCTGATCGTGAAAACAAGTGGGAAAAGCCAGATAACTTAAAAATGTGATACTCGTTAAAGGAAAGTCCAAATAGATACACAGAAAGCTGCCTAAATTAGACAGTACCTATGACCTTGCTGACTCAAAGTATGGTCCATGGACAAGCAGCACTGCCATCACCTGGGAGCTTTATAAACTCGGGCCCCACTGCAGAGCCCCGGAATCAGAATCTGCATTATAGCAAGATTCCCCAGGTGACTTCTGCACAGTGAGATTTGAACAGTGTTTACCTGGAATATATGACTACTATGACCGAAGTAATGACGATGTGTACATGATGGAGAAAAAGAAGACCATGGCAATGTGATTAATACAGAGGTCTGATGAGAAAGTTTTAGAGCTCTCTCAGGACCGTCACTTAATGCTCACAGGCAGGAAACTCACTTATATCAGTTCCCTTGGAACCCTTTCTAGATCCTTCTTCACGCTCTTTCCTGTTTAAAGACACAGCTGCCCTTAACGATTATCTTTTCTCCTCGGCGCAAAGAGCGTATTTATCGTCAGCATGCTGACATTTGCAGGAGTTTTGGCTTTCTCCACCAAAAATATGGATGATTGAAAGGATATTGCTGACACCTGAATAAGAAATCCAATGACTCTGAGCTATGTAAATTTAATTATTTCCTTTAATTTTTTTTTTTTTTTTTTTTTTTTTTTTTTTTTTTTTTTTTTTTTTTTTTTTTTTTTTTTTTTTTTTTTTTTTTTTTTCCAGAAATCTCTTTTTCTTTTCCTCAGCTTTGGAGAAGACCTGGCAATTTTCATTTAAAAGAAATACAAGTCAGCAGTGGTTCACCGAACAGGCTGACACGCAATTTCAAAGGGGGAGAGGCGCTGTGTCTTTAATCTAATTTGTGCTCTCAATTCCCAGTTAATGTATCTAGGGACTCTGGTGTATGCTTTTACAAGGAGACATCTGTGATGCAGAGTCCAGCTTGAAACATGGGTGAAAAATTAGTCTGGATTCTTGTCGCTGCCCTACAACACGATATATCTATATATACTCACAGATGTAGAAATATTCCCGGCCTGGCCTGAATTCAAATCCTAGAGAAAAGGGTGTGAAGAGCTGGAATTTTTCAGAGAACTTCAGTGGTCCGTTTGGAGAGTGAGGCCGGTTACATTCCCATCTCTTGAAGCCTTTGGAAGTATGGTCGCAGGCACTGTAGCCATCAAAGTTCACCATGTAGAGGACATAACGCTCGGTCTTATCTTCAGGGACCGAGTCCTCATAGTGAGGGCAGAAAACATCCAGGTAGTCATTGATACAGACGTCGATGTGGTAGTCACCCCTCTGGAATCTGTTGGAAGAAGGAAAAGCTGGGATTACTCATAGAGGAAGGGCTTTCTTTTTGGAATCGGTGGTTGAATCTGTAATAAAATGCCAGGACTAAAAGATTTATTATAAGTTGTTTTTGTTGCATGCCATTGTGATTCCAGGCCTGCTTTGAAATGTTAGTTCCAAATCGAAGCGACAAGAAGTCGTCTTACAGAGGAATTCTATTATATTTGTTTCAAAATACCCTACAAATGGAACCCTTCACATTCATTTTAAGTAGTAAAGATAATGGTATGTTGTTTTCCTTTTGTTCTTCAAATGACATATATTGAAGCAAAGCATATTTCTAAAATAGTTTCATTTAATAAATGTTTTTGAATAAGTAATTTAAAGAATAAGTGATTGAATTGTTTTTGTTATAACTGAGACTTCTCAATTTTCTATGCAAATCAAGAGAAGTAGAGTCATAAAATTGAGAGAATTAAAATCATAAAATTTAAAAGTTGGAAAGGAAACCCTTAGAATAATACTTCCACTTGAGAGAAAAATAAAAAATCTAAGGCATAATGATGAAGTGGTGAGTGACTGAGCTAGACCTGGAATGAAGACTTTGGAACCTAGTTAAGCATTTCCCTTAGTAAATCTGCTTATGTCACAAACTTATTTTGGCTGATCTTGATGTTCTATCCCTGTCTATATTAAGAATATTGAAGCTATTTAAATCAAATGACATTTCCCGTTTCTTTAAATTTTATAACTTGCATTCTAGAGCTAGACTGATGAGTAGTGAAAGTAACAAGCCAGATGAAAACAGCAAAAACCAGGGCCACGTCATCCTGAAATAGTTAAAATGCACGAACACACACACAACACTGCGCATATCACACATTGTCTGCTTCAATTGTTATCTTACAAAAGTTTTGTTTATTTGTTTGAACTAATATGCCTTTCCCCATCAACTGACAGTATTTCTCAGGACCTAGTGACGTGCAACACAGGCGCTATGCATACAACTTTCTAAAATCAGGGTGGAAAACCTACAATCCCTTCTGCTTTTAGCTGGTGAGGAAATTCTTCTCTGCACTCTTAGAAGGCTCATCATAAAACTGTGTTACTGCTGAAATATAACGCCCATGAAGTCATATAATCTTCAAGTCAGACAGTCTCAGAGTGAACACTTCCCAGTGATTGTGAGCTAGTCTATTCCATTTTTGGACTTCTCTAAGTGTTAGAAAGTTTCTTCTTATATTGAGCATAAATCTGCTTCTGTGTAATTTCTTTCCAGTGATCCTACTTCTGCCTCCTGAAACTACAAAGAACAAATCTAATTCTTCCAGCAGGTAGTCCATAAAACATACGGAGATGTCAGTTATGTCTCTCCATATCCTCCTTTCCCCAGACTTGAAAATCCTGATTCCTTTGGTTATTTTTGGTATAGTCCCCAGGCTCCTCGCCATTCTTGCTTCTGGACCCTCCTCTTGTCCCCCAGTGTTCTCCTGAAAATGCAGCATCGACACGTAACAAAGACCTTGCACAGGTGGTCATGACCAATGTTCAACCCAGCAGAAATACCACCTTCACTCTGGATGCTGAAATTCATTGCCAAAGCCAACTTCCCTTTCTGAGATAAAACATGGGAGAAGTGGAAACACTAATTTTGAGTGAGTAGACCTAGATTTAAAGATTCTGCAACAGGTTGAATGGGACAGTCATAAACCATCCAGAGCCTCAGTTTCCTCACATATAAACTGGAATAATAATGAGAATCTGATCTCACATGGCTGCTTCATGTCTTAGATAAGGAAATGTATGAAAAGCACCATGGGAATGTAAAGCATTGTTACTATTATCAGGATAGACTGAAGCATATTAAAGTGCTAAAAAATAAAATGTTAACTTTTAAACAACAGCAATAAGAGCATACGACAGAATGAAAAATAAAATGTTTCCCTTTTTAGAAATCCAAAAAGAAAGAAAATCATATAGAAATCCTAAAGTCTGTCCTCAAATACCAAATGATCTAAAGAAACTCCATTTGACCCATGCTTTTGAAAAGCAGCATGCTGATTTATATACAAGGAAATAAGGGAAGATGACCAGATCACTTTCTGGTGAGAGGATCTCAAAATACATAACCATTTTTAAAAACCAAAAACCCTCAAGAAGTATTTATTTCTGTGTATTTACAATAATCATGGAACTAGGTTTACTTTTTCTTCATTACAGGCAGACAACAATTTGTCAAGATGCAAGAAAAGCCTGTGTTGCTTTTAAAAGATTTTTGAACATCAAGGTAACATCACTGCCAAAGTACAAAGAAAAGACACTGCAATGTTCAGATAAAAGGGTGCTGGGCTATGAATCATCAGCACTCAGAGTAGCCTGACAAGTTCTGGATGAGAGCCAGACAAGAACTGCAGCAGAAGGCAATGCCCAGATGCACTTTCTATTATTATATTATTATTATAGATTTTAAAGACATTCCAGGGGGATGTTTCTCCTTTACCTAAGAGTCTGTCATTTTAGCTCTTACTAGCACACCTGACACTGCTGAAAAGTGAAACCAAAAATAAAAACCACAACTGTCCGGACGCTCTGTTATTATTTTATTCTCCAAATCGTCATTGTTTTCTGACACCTCAAATTTAGCTTTCCTTTCCAACTTTTATCCTTGTTAATACTGCTAAAATTTTAATAAAACAAATCATGAAATTGAAGACCCATTTTACATTAGGTTGACCTTTCTGGTGACATTTTACTTTGTGTGGGGGTGGTTAAGTGAATCGCTGTGGAAACTATTTTATAAATATGACTGCTCAGGAATTAGTAACTCTACCCTTTATTTCTATGACAAAGTAAAGATGATGATTCGCATAGAACTCCTTTACACTTTTGTTTCAGATCTTTAATCTACATAAATTAGTTGACTAACATAAATTTCAAAGGAGGGCCAATATAAATAAAAACAACGATAAACTGGAACTTGTAAAAGGCATCTGTGTAATGTAAAAGGTACAATCCAAAACAAAGTTTAGGGTTAAATATTCTATACTATCCCAAATCATGCTCTCTGGCTACAAAGTAGCACTGAACTATTCTTTTCTGGCCTTACTGTGAAGAAGCACATATGTATGGCTAATATTATTGAATGCTTATCATGTTACATTCATGATCTCAATTTAATCTCCATCACAAATCCCACAGAATGACAGTTTGTACACCATTTAAAGATGAGAAAACTGAGATTAAGAAGTCAAGCTATGTGCTCAAGGTTACACAACTAGTAAAAGTTGGAGGCAGAATTCAAACCCAAGCAACCCAAGTTCTGACCCCCGAACTGAAGCTCTTCACTATTTCACTTCCTGAGAGTAAACTGCTAATGTCAAGTTCATAGGTCTAGTTTGTATCCCCCAGAAAAGTGATTCTCATTCTTGATGGGGTTTCATTTCATTTGTCATTCACTGGTGCAACAGATATTTGCTGCATTCAGATGTGCTATGTTATGGCTTTCTGTACATTGCCATGTGAAATTCTCAGTGGATGGTTATAATTAGTTTCATCTGACCAATGAGGAAATGAATTTCAGAGAAGTTGCTATTCTCTGAGTTCAATTTTTTTCATAGGAAATAAGTAGAGTTAGGATTTCAACCTATGATGTCACACGGTTCTGATGCATGTTCTCTTTCCTCTTAACCACAATGGTTCCAAAAGCTTACCAGTTGCAATTCCCCTCATCCAACAGATACTCTCTTCCCCACTAGGCTGACCCCACATTCCTAAACGGAAAGCTAAAGGGTGCACCAACATTTATCCTCAACCTCAGGTCACAGGGTTAGCTCCCGAATCACACACATCGTTCCAGGCTTTCACGGAATAAAGTGCTGTTAGCCTTCACGTAAAGAAGTCGGGGTTTTTTTTTTTTTTTTAACCCCATCAAGAAACAGCTTTCATGAGCTTTAGCTCATATTCAATGAGCAGATTCACACCTGAGAAGAACGATTCTACATGCCAATATTAACAAATACCATGGGTAGCCTGGCCACTGTTTTAATACATTTGTAAATTTCTTGGAAATTTTCTTGTAATGTGTCCTCTTTACTCCTTATTCTTAACCCCATCCTTTGAATCTGTGGACCTCTACCTCTCTGAAATCACCATATATTATGAACATATTACCAATAAGCCAGCAATAATTACAATACAATCTCTACTAAAGTATCACAGTGGTTTATAACGTAAAAGCATGCATAGTTATCATACTTAGAAAAATGACTGTGTTGAAGAAAAATGATTCCTACACTGACTGTATCTCACAAAACAAAAGTCTCAGGTGCCAGGAAAACATCAAGTATGCAGAGAATGATGGCCCTTGTTCTCCACTGGGTTGCATGGCTACTTAGATCAATGCTCCATATAAAATATAATAGTATATTTTTCTGTTATGGTAAGAATACACTGCACATATTTATCAAAAGTTAGCAGCATACTGATTGAGAATGTCATATATATTATGAAAGGGTCATTTAGTTAATTAAAATGCATAAAAGTTAGCATGGAAACTAGTTCTTTGTAATCAACTTAATTACCAAAAATGAAATATGTACCTTATAATAGTTCTCAATGATACAGAGGCTGCCTGGATGGTTGGAATAAAACACATTTGGGGGCTATTGATAGCAAAAATAACAACCAAAATTGAGATTTGAGCTAGAAAGTCTACATGCAGACGCATGCTTGCCTAAGTATGTCTTCAGTGTTTACCCGATGACTCTCCACAGCAATTCTGATTGTAAATTTAAAACTATTATTAATTTTTCTCCTTATTTAACCTGTCTGGAGAAAGTGAATCATGACTTAAGTCTCGGAATTCAAATGAAATAAAGACAATAGAAGTAAAAGTGGACAATTTACCTTTTCATTTAGTTATCGGCAATGTATCCCCTCAAATTTCTACTGAGACAGGAACCAAAACGTTGTTTCATGACCATAGTTAACCTGAACCATAAGGATTTTGATCCTCCT